GCCTGGGAGTGGGGCCTGAGGCCACGCCCCCTCAGGCGTCCTGCCAGCCTGGGAGTGGGGCCTGAGCGCAGTCTCCAGGCCGGCAACCCCCCAGCGCCACAGCCCCTGCCCCATCCTCATCTAGGCGGACAGGTCAGCCCCTCCCCACTCAGCCGGACTGCCCCTGCCCCAGGCCCCGCCCCAGCGTGGGGTCCCTCCCGGCTCTGCCCTCCCCACACCTCTGGCCTTGACCCTGGGCCTCCACCATCCGCAGCCCAAGACCTGGAGCCACCAAAGCAAGCCCCGCACATCCCAACTAAGGTGGCAGGTCCCCTGGTCGGCGCTGCCCGTCCACTCTGGTGACCCTGCAGCTTCCTCTGGCCATAGCCCGAAGCCCAGGTGCTCGGGGCGGATCCGTGCCCCTGCTCTCTCACTCCAGCCCCGGCTGGATGCTGAGCTGGCACCGGGGCTCTTGGCACCGCACCCCGCTGAGTCCTCCACACTCCCCTCCTGGTGGGACCCCCTCCCAGGGGTCCAGCCAGCCCAGACACGACCGTGGACAAGGCGCACGGGTGTGCAGGGCCGAGTGTGTCACCGCCTGGCCTTAGGGGCCATCTGGATTGAGAGAGACCAATTCCCGACTCATCGGTGGGTTGCTGAGGCCTGGAGAGGCACCCACAGGGCGGCTGGGCCCAGCACACACTCCAGAGTCGACACTGGACACTGTGCCACTCGCCAGCCACTGGCCCGGAGGGGTGGGCAGGGCGGGCGCCCGGCGGGGAGCCGGCGGGGCCGTTGACCCCCCTAGGGAGGCGCCTCGCTGAGCCCGGCACCCTCCCGCCCCCAGCACAGCCTCCCCCGCGCTGTGGACCGTGTTCCTGGGCAAGGTGTGGCAGCGCTCCCGCTGGCCGGGGGAGGTGTCCTTCAAGGTGAGCCGCCTGCTGCTGCACCCGTACCACGAGGAGGACAGTCACGACTACGACGTGGCCCTGCTGCAGCTCGACCACCCGGTGGTGCGCTCGGCCGCGGTGCGTCCCGTGTGCCTGCCGGCGCGCTCCCACTCCTTCGAGCCGGGCCTGCACTGCTGGATCACTGGCTGGGGCGCCCAGCGTGAGGGAGGTGCGCAGCCGGGGGGCCCGGACACCTGCCCCAGGCCAGTGCACTGCCCCTCACCCCCCGCCCCATCTGGAGGCCCGGACTGAGACCAGTGAGACAGGACGGGCTTCGCGGAAAAGCGGCTCATCCTGCAGGGTGCTGGGGGGCTCATCCTGGAGGGTGTTGGGGGGCTCATCCTGGAGGGTGCTGGGGGGCTCATCCTGGAGGGTGTTGGGGGGCTCATCCTGGAGGGTGCTGGGAGGTTCATCCTGGAGGGTGCTGGGGGGCTCATCCTGGAGGGTGTTGGGGGGCTCCCTCCCGCACACAGTGAGCACCTGCTATGTGCCAAGCACTGACCTGGGTGAATAGGAGAGAAAGAGGAAGGCATTTTGAGGGGGGCAGGTGCTGGGAGCAGACATGGGCAGGGGGCCCCAGGGCAGAGGAGTCAGGAGGCCAAGCTGAGGCCAGCACAAAGGCCAGCGGTGTGGGCAGGCGTGGTCGGCAGGAGGACCGGCCACCTCGAAGGATCTTGAACCAGGGTCTCTTCCCCACTTCATTTTACACCCAGCTGCGGCTTGGAGGCAGACGGGCACCTGGGTGCCCGCCCAGCCCAGAACCCAGAACCCCGCCCAAGAGCGGGCACACTGCCTGCCGACAGGCGGCAGCGGGCAGGCTCTGGGCTGGACGGAGAAAGAGGCTGAAGGGCTTAGGGGCAGGATGGCGGGGTCAGATGTGGGCTCTGGGAGAAAATCCCCCTGGACCGTCACAGGCAGATGAGGGGCCGCAGGCAGGAGGTGGGGGGCAAGGGGGAGGAAGACACCATCCCACATAGGCTCAGGGGGCGGCTCTGTCCCCATAGTCCACGCAGAGAAGGAGCCAGAGTGCTGGCGAGGCACAGGTGGGGAGAGCAGGAAAGTTGGGGGAGCCCTGCGACGCAAGGGGGCGAGCAGGAGACTCCCAAGTGCCTTGGGTCTTCTCACCTCTGCCCCCTGCCCACCGTGCAGGCCCCACCAGCAATGGCCTGCAGAAGGTGGATGTGCAGCTGATCCCCCAGGACCTGTGCAGCGAGGCCTACCGCTACCAGGTGACACCCCGCATGCTGTGTGCCGGCTACCGCAAGGGCCGGAAGGACGCCTGCCAGGTGACTCCGGGCAAGGGGGGAGGCCCCAGCACACACCCCGGGCCGCCCACCCACGTCAGCTTCTGGAGGGCCCAGCGAGTAGGGGTGCCTGTCCCCAGTTCACAGATGATGAAGCCAAGGCTGGGGGAGGCTGAGGGGCCCGCCCCAGGTCAGACAGCAGTGGGGGAGCCTGGGGGGCATCCTGCTCCTCGCCCACCTTCAGGCGCTTTGCCCATGGCACGCAGGGGAGGGAGCAGAGGGCAGGTGGGGCGTGGGGGACACCCCCCACACACACAAGTGCCAGCATGCCAGCCCTGGCCCAGGCAGGGCTGGTTTGCACTTTCTCCTGTCAAGTGTAGGGGAGACAGAGCCTTCAAAGGGGAGGGGCCTTTCTTGGGGTCACTCAGAACATTCCCAGCAGTCCGGACTTGAACCCCTGGAGATGCCTCATCCTGAGGTGACCCTGACTCTTCTCTCTCCTGCCAGGGCGACTCGGGAGGCCCCCTGGTGTGCAAGGCGCCCAGTGGCCGCTGGTTCCTGGCAGGGCTGGTCAGCTGGGGCCTGGGCTGTGGCCGCCCCAACTACTTTGGTGTCTACACTCGAATCACAGGTGTGATTGGCTGGATCCAGCAGGTGCTGACCTGAGGAGCTGCCCTGAAGAACTACGGCTGACCTCCTGGGCCCAGCCCAGGGCTCCACCTGGCAGCGAGCAAGTATTCTGGGGGTGACAGACCCTGAGCAGCCCATCTCCCACCGCCCCAGTGTGGGCAGGGGAGGGCGAGAGCCACAGCCTGGTGGTCAAGACTTCCTCGAAGCCTGGCTGGTCACCGGGCATGGCCCGGCGAGTCGGCGTCCAGTGTGTCACCTCCCGATTCTCCTCCTGCCCCTCCCCCCAAGACTGACATTGGGGGGAATCGTTCAGCATCAACATGGCTTCCGGGTCCCAGTAGGAGTGTCTGAGATCCCCCCTACCCCCCAATTCAGAGGCTGCCAGGACACCGCTGTTCAAAATACTTAACCTAACCCCAGGTGGGGTGGAAGGTGCCCACCAGAGGGACCCTCGGTGCCCCAGAGACAGCCAAGTGGTCCAGCTGCCATCATAAGCCAAAGGGTGGGGGAGCCCCAGGTCCAGGGCCCCAGCCCCGCCCCTCCCACCCAGGGCACCCACTGCCCACCTCACCGGAGGGGCCCAGCTGCCCTGTGGAATAAAGCCGTCTGACCTGAGTCCTGCTCCGGGGTTTGAATGGGGGCTCGGCAAGCACCCTCATGCCGTGACCCTGCTTCCGACCCAGCCTGTTGGCCAAGTCCCCAGACGGCCCAGGTGGGGCCAGCGGGGCAGGGCCCCAGGCCCGGTCCCAGGCAGGCAGCGGTGTGGCTGCCTCAGGCCAGAGTGGGGCGGACAAGGGGCTGCTTGGCAGGGCAGGCTCAGCCATGGGGAGGTGGGGGGCAGAGGTGGGGTGGTAGGCTCTGGCTGGGCGTGGGGCCAGGGCCGTGGGCAGGAGAGGAGCCCCAGGGCTGGCAGATTCAGAGGGCAGGAGGAACAGGAGCCTCGGGTTCACTTTGCAGGACTCGGGGTCGGAGGGTGGCAATGGTGGGAGGGTGGAAGTGATTGAGAGGGGTCATCACAGAAAGGGGGTGTCCTGGGACAGGAGGGAGCAGCCGCTCCGGGAGCTGACGGGCCCAAGAAACGGTGGGTGAGGCTGGAAGTGGGGGGGATGGGCGCCAGCGTCCTGAGACAGGACAGCGGGACAGGCCAGACCCGGCTGGGCCTCAGACGCCGCTGCCCACAGGACAGCGAGGTGCAAGCGCGGGCACTGGCTAGAGCCCAGCCCGCAGCTGTGCCGGCTTCGGTCCGACCCGGCCCCGGCGCCCAACGTGCCCAGCAGTGATGGCCCCTGGGCTTCTGGAAGAAGCCTTGCGACCTTCGGGTCTCGCACGTCGCCTTGAGTTCATAGTTGGTCCCCAAAAGTGACCCAGAGAAAGAGGGCGGCGGCCGCGCAGGCTGTTTCTCCTCAGGTTTTATTACGAGGGGCTACGGACACAGCCGAGAAGCGACGGACACAGGCAGGGTCCCTCGCTCGGCCCGACGGCCCCAACTCTCCCCAGGGCACAAGTTCCCGAGTGGCCCCGCTGTCTGCCACCCCTCCTCCTCGCAGGGCCAGACCCCCATCCTCCATCCGCGGACCTCAATCTCCACCTGGGGCGAGCTGGGTCCACCCTCCAGAGGGGGCGCCCTGTGCCTGGCACCTGGACGCTCCCCGGGCTTTCTGGGGCCGCTTCTCCTAGTAACCTCACAACAACCCTGTGAGGTAGGTGGGGTGGGAAGTCGACCCATGTGACAAGACAGGGGGACTAAGGCTCAGGGAGGCGATGTGACCGGGGCAGAAGGAGGGGCACCCCCACGCAGCTGGGGCTCGGGCGGAGGGGACACAGGCCCCGGGAGACACAGCTGGGGGCGCCGCACTTCGGCCACAGGCAGGAGCCCCTGCCCAGGGGTTCCGGGGCCCGGCACCTTAGGCTTTGAGAGGTCCCGGCGGGTCCCCACTGGGCCCCCAGAGGCAGGTGTAGACAGAGGTGGCAGGAGGGAGAAGGCTTCCTCTCCTGGGGGCTGGGGGCCCACCCCATGGTACAAAAATAAAGGATTTCAGATAGGAACCCCAAGTCCCTGGAGGTGATCTGGGGCCTCACATCCGGGCGCCTCTGGCTTGTAACAGCTAGAAAATAAGAGAGGGAGGGGCAGAAGGATGGGGTGGGGGGTGGTCAGAAAACCAGGAGGGAGAGGGGGGGCCAGAGAGGGGAGGTGCAGGCCGAGGAGGGGG